TGTTTCTTGATTAGGTTTGGTTGGAATTCTGTGTGATTTTTGTAAGAACTGAATTCTGTAATGCTCTGACTGAGCAGTTGGTTTAATGTGCCCCTAACAATTGTCTATTCCTACAACTTTTGACCTATGCTAAGTATTTAGTTGGATCTTAATTTGTGGCTAAAAGGGGGGAGAGTATGATAGAAAACAACGGGTGGGAGAACAAGTTGAAGACTAGCTAGTGCATAGCTATAGCATATGTACCATTGTGCATATATGACGTAATCATACTTGCATGCTTGCAGGGCTCTGATACCAAGTATGATAGAAAACAGGTGCTGCTGAAGATATGTGTGATAACAACTGATTAGTGTTGTTAGTATAGGATTGTGCTGATGCTATATATGAATGCCTAGGTTGAGTAGGGTTGTATGATAGAACTAGGATGCTAACCATATATGTGTCTGCAAAGTGTAAGCAGGATGGGAGCAGTGTGCATCTCTTCAGGGGGAGTAGCACAGGTGTGTGACATCAGAAGATTATGCTGAATGTCATAATATCCAGATCAGACTGGATGTCTGTATGACTGTAGGATCTGCAGGTAAAGTGTTCTGCTGGTGAGTTGCATCAGTTGAGGGGGAGTAACTCTATATGTTACTCAATTAGCAAAGAGTGACATATGTAGTGATACTAACAGATGGTTAACAAGGTGAGTGTTAACAGGGCTGAAAGCCAACTGTGAGGACTCTGAGAGCTTGAGTAGCAAGTGACTTACCTGCATGAAGGACATATGTTAAGCCTTCTGCTGTGTGTAAATCTCTGGTGTAAGTACAGAGTATTTTTGCCAAAAATTTTCCAAAGGGAGAGTTTGTAAGTGCTCATGATTGGCTGCATTTTGTGGCAAAACATTAGTGTATGCATGAATGTCATGTCTGATGTTGATACATTCATAATATGGACTGTGCAAGGTAAGTTAACTCAGCTAACTATAAGTTAAGCTGGATGTCATACTCAATGTTATGACATAGGTCGTATGACATCAAGCGCAGGTTTGTTATTCTGGTAGCTAGAACTCAGGAAACAAAACAGAAGCTCAAGCTGGAATGCAGGAGACATTTTAGAAGCCCTAGGAGAACTAATATGTACCTGATTAAAGTGGCAAGCGTGCATAATACTTAAGAGAGGTTTTATTATGGATAAAACCTAATTTATGCACCAAGGCCCAAAGGACTGAAGCGGCTATAAATATCAGAAGGAGCAATTCTGAAGAGCAGCTCTTGACAGAAGATTAGAGAGTACTAATTAGAGAGTCCTTGTGTGTGAAGAAGACTAGTGTTCACGTGTGAATTCTGCTTAGGAATACTTGTAATCCAAGCAATTGTCTGGTTGATGATTGCATTGGTTAGGTAGATTCCAGGCTGTGTCTCACTCGAAGCTGTGAAGCAAGAGTGTGTGAGTTCCTTGATCAAAGCTGTGAAGCAAGATCAAGGTGTGTGTGAAGTGTCTCTTCATACTGTTTTGTATTGTAATTGTTTGATATCACTGTTGTGTGATTGAGGGGGAGTGAGTGGGTATACTCAGGTCTAGAGTATCTCTAGGTTGAAGTGTCATTGGGTAGAGATTAAGTGAGGAATGTAAACTGGAGGTTTAACTCTGAATTGATTCTGCTGATAGTGAATTTCCTCCCTGGCTTGGTAGCCCCCAAATATAAGTGTTGTTGACACTGAACTGGGCAAACAATTGATGTGTTATTTACTGCTTTTATTATTGCTGAGTATTAGATGTTAAGTAGCATATGTCACAATGGATGTTATAACCTTGGGAATAACATCCATCGTGTGCTTGCCAGAATTTTCACTACTGATAGTGGATTTCCTTCCTGGCTTGGTAGCCCCCAGATGTAGGTGATGTTGCACCGAACTGGGTTAACAATTCATTGTGTTATTTATCTTTCTGCATTTAATATTCTGCTCAATTTAAATGGTTAGATAAATTGTTCTGTCAGTCTGCAGATATTACAACATATGTCATAACACTATTAATTTTTAAAGTAAATCAAAATGCTTGTCTTCTGTCCTTGTTATGGTTAAGTAGAGATCAATGTCTAGGACATCTGAGATCTGCATACCATGATTTCAAAAATATTGCTCATTGATAGATGAATATCTTAGATCTAAAATTTAAAAAGGTTTTGTCAATACCCACAAATAAGAAATTAAAAGCAACATCTATATTGAATCAAAACTAGTTCATAATACATATATTTGATGAAATACATAAGGTATTAATAGATTACATCCAAACCCAACAAGAGGTCGAAGCGCTTACTCGAAGATCAAGCTCCGAGTTACTTCAATTTGTGCTTCTCCCTCTTAGAGTTTGTGTTTCTCTCTCTAAAATATGTTTTGAATGAAGAGAGATAAAGTTCTAATCCTCAAAATATATGTTATAAAAGTTGCTGTTAAAAAGTACATGAAAATACTTATATAGAAGTACAAAAATCTATCCTATTTGCCTTGCGAACACCTTCTTCGCACTACGAATACCACTTTTAGTGCAGACTCAGGAACAGTTAAACCGCCATTGAAAATATCTAAGTTCGCAGTGCAGACTCATTCTTCGAAATGCAAACTTCTTCCCTACAGCTTCGTACAGTGAACTTTGGGTCCTTTTCCTACTGCCATCCAAAGTTTTCAGCTCGCCTGGACTTTGTTGTGACCTCTCACAACGAACATTCGCTTTGACCTCGCTCCTGTTCGCACTGCAAACTTGCTGATTCTTCTTCATTTCTTTGGCTTCCTTGTCCAATCATTTGTGTCTTAATCATTAATATTTTATGCCTATATCTTGTACAATAATACACACATCAAACATCCAAAGGTATTTGCAATATAATTGAGGAATCACACAAGAATAAGAAATAAATCCATTAAAACATGAGAAATGAGTTGAAAAATGCCAAGAAAGATGGTTAAATTTAAGTCGTATTTTGCACTTAATAGGCCACAATAGGCACATGGAAACTTAAGAGGTATTAGCCAATCTCCTTGTGTCAAGCATCCTTATTCAGGGCCCTAACATTCCATGAAACAATCATGGAACATGAGTAGTTTCCTTTGTAAGACATTCTCCAATCTGCAGGGGTGTGAAACTGTTTTGAAATATGTTTCAATCTTGCTTTTTGGTGTGATACTTACTTGATGCTTATGTTTCTCTCATTTTTCTGAAACAATTAAAGTCTATTCATCTGTATGTTTTCCATTTGTGCTTATACCTTTGTCTTCATTTCCTATCACAAACAATTGCTTATCATCATCATCATTGCTTACAAATTCCTTTGCCTAGTGTTCAACTGGTTTCCATATCATTGTTGGTTTTTTCTAAGCAGGCCCATTCTTCTTAATAGAGCAATCATGTCCAATTCTCAGGCATGTTTGGCAGTACATCAGTTTCCATTCATATTCAATTAGTTGTTCCAAGTTTTTTTTCCCATTATGATCCTTAATGCAAACTTTGTCCCTTAGCTTTTGTGTTATGTCAACCTCTACAAGCACTCTAGCATAAGAGATGTGAAGCTTCTTAGCAGTACACTCATTTTCCATGACGGGCTTCCCTACCACACTCGCAATCTTTGATATAATCCTCTCCCCCCACAAGTGTAATGGCAAACTTTGCATTGTTATCCACAATGGTAGCACACGGAGTAAATCTTCTTTGATTTCAAATTTAGTTGTCTAGTAATGAAGGAATAAGGGTTTACCATATATAAAATATGGTCTTTGGGCCACAACCTTTTCCTTGTCGTCATCGTTCTTGAACCGCACTATGAAGTACCATGCATCGTTGTAGTACAGTTCCGGTAAAGCCATGAAATTCCAGATTTTCTCCATGAATTTTCTCACTGCATTTATCGATAGAGTTTAGCCCAAAGCAAATAGTATAAAGGAATTTTCCCAGAATTCCAATTCCATAGCCACATCATTTTCCTCAATGCTAATTTCAATCTCACAGTTGATCAAGTTGGGGAAATGAACTCCGCTGCCATGCCTTTATCTTGATTTCGATTCCCTTGGATAATATCAACCCAAGGTTTTGAGCTGATACTTTGTTAGATTTCCGGTGGTGTGTACCTCCCTTATTCTTTAGTAGTTTTCTCCGTTGGGGTCGCGATACTTGGTGTGATGGCCATTACCTCATCTGTCGCGATTTCGCTCATTTTCTCCTTCTCTGGCGCATACGTAACGATCGTTCTCTCCCTCTTATTATAGTGCGCTGCCACCTGTTTTTTTAACTGACCATCGCTCCTCTTTGCCATGGTTCACCTAAACCCTAGTGGAGCAAGACGAATATTCACAATTAATATTTGGTTTATATAAACATTTATTAAATTGCTTATTTATATATGTTTCAATAAAATTGATTATTAAATAGATTAAGAGATGAATCAAACTTTTGAAAAGTTTAGACACGCGCTTGAAAAAAAGTCATGATTTAAGCAAAAAAAAAAACACGTGTAAAAAACAATAATTCAAAAAAAGTGTCGGGAACACTTTCCATCATTTTGGCACCGGTGAAAAAAACACATGATCCGCCGGTCAAACTTTAGCTAACATTTGCAGTAATATGATATGCATGCTTCCTTCGCTATCATTTTACACTTCACATAACAAATTAAACACAAAATTTCCTCAACTATTATCTACTTCACAATTCACATCACATGCAAAATTTCATAAACATAAACATAATTTTTTTTGTCGCCGACCAGTGCCACATCACAAGAAGATAAGAACCACGAAACCCAACCAACAACCCTTCCGTGCTTATTATTCTTCTGTTTAAACGTGACATCTCAAATCTCTCCGATCTGTCACCTCTTGCAGTAAGCGACACATTTTCACAACTCAGCACCACGTTCCAAAACCCATAGGTGGGTGGGGCATTTTCACAAACACCTGAGAGTTAAAAATAATAAAACGGTTTTACCATAGCGTAGAAATCTTTTGAGGAAGGAAGAGAGAATGAGTTTCAGAGAAGAAAGCGGCGATGGAAGGGAAATTCAGAAACCGTTTCTTCATACGGGAAGTTGGTATAAAATGGGTTCCAGACAATCGAGCGTCGCGGGGTCCTCGACTACACAGGTTTTGCGAGATGGTTCTGTTTCTGTTCTCTTCTGTGTCCTTGTCGCTGCTTTGGGTCCCATTCAATTCGGTTTCACGGTCTGCTTCAATTCAATACAATTTATTACGAATTCTGTTTGAATCTAAGTAAAAAACTAACTTTTATTAATTTTGATTTTTTTTGTGTGTGTTTGTGGGATTAGTGTGGGTATTCTTCTCCCACGCAACAAGCTATAATCAAAGATCTAAATCTCTCGGTTTCGGAGGTACTTTTCTTTATATGTTTGTTTCTATGATTTTGGATTATTCTTTATAGTTTTTGTTATTAGTGTTAGTGTTTAGTTGTTTTTGTTGTTGATAATTTGGATAGTTTTCTCTGTTTGGATCTTTATCCAATGTGGGTGCTATGGTGGGAGCTATAGCCAGCGGTCAGATAGCAGAATACGTTGGACGCAAAGGGGTATTTCTTAATTTATTTTTTGGCGGTGTTTGTTTTGTTTTAAACTCATTCTGTTAAAGGAATAATTGTGATATGGTTTTTTATTTGTGTGAATGTTTGAATGTTGCAGTCATTGATGATTGCTTCAATTCCCAATATAATAGGGTGGCTCGCCATTTCATTTGCCAAAGTAAGTAGTGCTGTTTGCAAGTGGCATGAGTGGTTTGGTTTTTTATTTGTGTGATCAGGGATTTAACCTGATATGATGTTTGGTTGGTTTTATAGGACTCTTCCTTTTTGTTTATGGGGAGGTTATTGGAAGGTTTTGGTGTTGGGATTATTTCTTATGTGGTAAGTTTGATTGTTTTGTTTGATCATGTTATTTGTTGAGCCTATTTGGAAGGTTGTTGATTGCTGATTTAATGCTGTCTGCGTACTGGTTTTTCCCCCCCATTTTTAGGTGCCTGTTTATATAGCTGAGATAGCACCTGAGAACATGAGAGGTAGCCTTGGATCAGTGAACCAGGTTGACAAATTATTTGTTTCTGAATCCCAAGTCTTTTCTTTCGATTTTTTGTATTAAAGGGGCTGGAGGCATTGAATTTGGTATTTAATATTTATGTAACATTTCTTGCTCAGCTCTCTGTTACAATTGGAATAATGCTGGCTTATCTGTTAGGCCTTTTTGCCAACTGGAGAGTGCTTGCAATCCTAGGTAAATTCCTAATGACCTTGTTGTAACAAGTTTCATATAAGTGAAAACTAGGAAAATGCTTGGATTATGTGTGTTTAGCAGTGGAGCCAGCCAGGTTTATCAAGTAAAACAGTGTCAGTCATGAGTGGAAAAGTAAATTTGCTTGGGGATAGTTTGTGCTTGTTATACTTTGTTCATGGAGTAAATTCAAAGTTGTATACTAGTTTGATCTTTCAAAACGTTAATTTGCACACATATTTATGCTCTTTGTTCTGTTGCAGGAATTTTGCCTTGTACAATACTAATACCTGGATTATTTTTCATACCAGAATCTCCTAGATGGTTGGTATGGATCGAATGTTATGCATTGTACTGATTGAATTTTGTACATTATATCTATTAATACTCATGTTCCTTCCAGAAAAGGGATGGCAAGACATTACTCTGTCTAATTTTCTTCTTTTCTATTTTTTATTGGGCCAATGTGGAATCTTAGGCCAAGATGGGGATGATGGATGAGTTCGAGACTTCGTTGCAAGTGTTGAGAGGATTTGACACAGATATATCTGTTGAAGTACATGAAATTAAGGTATGTGGCGAAATTGCCTATTCTTATATGGCTAATTTTTGCTAACTAGGTAAAATATCAACAGTAAGCATACTGTGCACTTAATAGTATTATTTTAGAATATGTATGTAAAAAACATGCACTTCTAACCACTTTACTTTTTTTAGAGAGCTGTGGCATCAACTGGAAAAAGAGTTACAATCCGATTTGCAGACCTCAAGAGGAAAAGATATTGGTTCCCTTTATCGGTATAATATATTCCCTTCTTAGTTCTGATATTGTCATGTTGTAATTTATCTGAAGAGTCAAACATAGATTTTGACTAACCGAGTACCTGCAGATAGGAATTGGATTACTTGTACTTCAACAATTGAGTGGTATCAATGGAGTTTTGTTCTATTCAACTAGCATCTTTGCAAATGCAGGTTATCTCTAAGTTCTTTAGAATTTTAAAATACTAATATTTTTCATATTGGTGTGGACGGGAGGATGAGAGGACTGGGAAGCGTAGGTGATATTAGTTAAAACCTTCAAATACTTGAAATATCAATGTCTAGTATAATACAACATGGTTTGAGATGTAAGAGATAGTTAGAAAATTTATGTTTAATAGGTATAAACCTCCAGTTATTTGTTGTGTTTCCATGACTATGGTTAGAATATATAAAAGATATCTCAATTTATCTTTGTTGTATTTTAGAGCATCTTAGGTGTTCTCTTGGGATTGCTTATATTTCCTTATTTAATTATGATTAAGAGTCTAGTACATTTCTAAACAAGGATTAGTGTTTTGTTCTTTTTTTAACACAACCTCACATCAATGAAGCACGGATACGTCAAAATCCCAGCCGATTTGTATACTATCCGATAAGCTGATACGCTGTGATACGACGGTGATACGACTCTGATATGCTGCGGATACATGGGTCTTCATTTAGATCACACTTATTTCATTTTAATGATCATTCACTCACCTTTTAATGACTATTTTCTTTAATACCCCCATTTAACTTTTTCCTGATAGTTGTCATTTTTCAAGATTGGTTTCATTCCCCATAATTCCTTATGAATTACCGATATTCAAAATTTAATTTAGATTAATTATTACTTACTTTTAAAATATAACATTATTTATAAATGATAATTTTAGATTCAATATACCATATCTGCAACGCTCCTTCCTTCCTCCTTGAGACCTTTCACATTTTTTTCAGCCATCTGGTAATATGCTAATTGTGTCATGTGTTTGGTTTATGTGGGATTATGATTTAACTAGATGTGTAATTTTAATTTTTATATATGTATCTTACACGTATTGTATCCTATATTATTCAATTAGTGACGCATCGCCGTATCGGATACATGTCGTATCCAATACTCGTATTGTGTCTGTGCTCGTGCTTTATTGCCTCGCATCAAGTAAATACCAATTTTAGAGTATATAGCATTATATTCTCTATCTATTCTATTCTACTATTGAGTTCTCTTAAACTTGCCCCATAGTTCAAGCTGCCATTGTCAAGGTTAGATAATTAGTCTCCATACCCTTAACCTATGTCAAAAGTCTTAGATCATTTAATTCTACTGTCATGCACTCCTTCCGACCTCTAACTAAGGGAGGGTTGGTCCATATTTCATTATTTAATTAGGAATAAGATTATAGTTTTAAGTATAAACTCAAATTAATGTTGTCTTTTGTAACGCGCCAACACATCTCAAATCAAGTAAATTTCAAGTTGAGTATTTAGGTCCATTTGACTAGCTAAATAGTGGATAACTAACTAGCCAGGATAAAATAAGTGTTCCATGTTTGATTTCTAGTTATTGGTAAGAAAATCTAGAGGTGAGGTACCAGACATTACTCTAAATTTTATTATGCCACAAACCATGAGATAAGTTTTTGTCCCAAGAACTACGTGACAAGACGAAATATCCATTTTCTACTTAGCGACTATTCTCCTCTTCTCTCCCCCTTACACACACACATGCGAACGCACGCGCGTGCACACACAAACATAGAGACGCACAGACGCGCGCGCACACACACAATTTACGTAGTTATTGTTAGGATTTCCTTCTTCATTGCGGTCCTCCCCTAACCACCTAATTGCAACATTTGGGTTGCCTTCATTGCAATCTCCAACACCTTCATTGTGTTGGATGTGAAAGAGTGGATTTAGTCCCACCTTGTCTAGAGGTGTGGTATGTGTAGTGTTTATAAAATTTGGACAACTATCACCTTACAAGTCGGTGAAAGAGTGAATTTAGTCCCACATTGCTTAGAGATGTGATATGTGTAGTGTTTATAAAGCTTGGGCAACTCTTACCTTACAAGTCGGTTCAGTAAGGTTGAGTTAGGCTTAGTCCAAGATTAAGATGGTATTGAAGCTTATCCTAGAAGTTTTGTTGGACTTTCCTCCTCATCCACGGTTTCGCCTCATTGAGCTGTTTTGTTGGACTTTCCTCCTCATCCACGGTTTAGCCTCATTGGGCCTGAGCTAGAGGGGGTTTGTTGGAAATTTCCCGCTTTCAATGCGACTGTGTAGTGTTTATATAGCTTGGGCAACATGCACTTTATATGTTATTTTTGTAAGGTTGAGTTAAGTCTAGTCCAAAGTTTTAAGAGTTATTCATATTGGCAGAGTAGTGGCAACCCTCACCTTACAATTCGATTATGTAAGGTTGAGTTAGGCCCAGTCCAAGGTTTAAGATGGTATTAGAGCCTAACCTCTATCTGTTGTTTCAAATCCCGCGTCCTCCACGTGTCAGGCTCATTGGGCCCGAGCTTGAGGGGTTATATTGGAAATTTTCCGCCATCATCTATGAAGCACAGACACTTCTAGGAGTAAGTGTGCCGCGGTGTCCGACACGCGTCGGTGTCCGGCATTTGTATGACACGTGTCGGAAAAGTTAAAGAAGTGTCAGAAAAGTCAGACAAATGTCCACTAAAAAAATGGTTTTTTTTCTTTGTTACGACACTCTTCAAATCAATGGTTGATACTTGACACCCATACAACACTCATAACACATATGTTTGACAATTCAGACAAATGTTTTAAACAAAAATTTGTTTTTTTCTTTGCTTCAACACACTTTTATATATATTTTGGACAAATCTCACAAATTAAAAATTGTTAACCGTGTATTATTAAAGACATTAATTTTGATTAGAATATTTTCAACTTATTTAATCATACATGGATAATTAAAGCTTAAATACTCTCTTATATATAGCGGTGTCGGTGTCCTATGTTTTAACATTATCGGTGTCGGAGTGTCCGTGTCGTGTCGTATCCCGGTGTCTGTGTCGGAGTCTGTGCTTCATAGGCTATCATTACGGCTGTGTAGTGTTTATAAAGTTGGGCAACCTTCACCATATAAGTCAAATTTGTAAGGTTGCGTTTAGCCTAGTCCAAAATTTAAGAGTGATAGTGGAGCAGTGACTGACCAATATTGATAGAACCCAAGAAGAGGAAATTGATTCAAAGAGATTAGTAGTGACTAAGTTAAGTTTAATATTGAGGGTTTTAGTAATTAGTGGTGTGTCAAAGTAATATGAATATTTTTATTAGTTTTGAATCAATCTTCTCATCTCGGGTCCTATCATTAATTTATTATAAATTGCTACTAAAATAAATAACTAATAAAATATTTATATTACTTAGACACCCCACTAATTACCAAAACACCTCAATAGTATAATTAGTTACTACTAGTCTCTTTGAATCAATCTTCTCATCTTGGGTCTTATCAAATATTCTCTACATGTAGCGTTGAGGATTAAAGTTGCAGCCGCAATCGTGCCCAAATAGCAGTGCTATCACCTGCACCTGGGAAGGGACCCTCAAAAACCCAAAAACACCCTTAGAAAAGGAATGTTTGAGATGGGGTATTTTGGGTGATTGAAGGCCTTAAGCTTGTTTGTTTCCTTGACTGATATCTACTTGTATGTTTTGTTTTATTACGGTTTATTACTAATTATGAATAATTCATGAATTTTAGTAATTTTCCAATTGTTGAGCATATACAATTAGAATAGCAGTCATCTCACTCTCTATTACTGAGTATTATATTACATAATTACAAACCATATATTAGTAGGAAATAAATAATGTGTATTACAAAGACTATTATAGTACATTTTAGAAAATTTTGTTTGTGTCGTGTATTGATTACCAAACTGTTACATGATAAAATATTGTGTTGTGCATCAAAATTTCCCTTAGTCTCTAGTCTCTATTCTCATCTTTGGATCCTTCCCAACCTAAAGCTGCATAATTTCATTGACTCTAGCTGTTTTTTATCCTAGTGATGTGCTGTTGGCTTTTATCAAAAGGAATGTTAAGGACTAATTCCATTCTGTTTTACTTGATCTTTCTTTCCGTGGTTTGGGTTTTGGCACTTATTAGTAATAGAAACTAAAATGAGAATTTAGATTACAGTCATAATGCTTCCTAGATCTAACCTGCATCTGTTTCTGTATTTGACTTCTGTATTGTAACAGGAATCTCATCCAGCAATGTTGCTACCGTTGGACTTGGAGCTATTCAGGTTGCAAAATAAAGCCTGGACTGTGGACTACTAATTGGGTTTCATGTGAATTTATAAAGATACTATAGTGAGTTTAATTCTCATAATCAGCATTCTTTTCCAGGTCATAGCTACTGGAATAGCTACTTGGCTGGTGGACAAAAGTGGGCGGAGGCTGCTCCTAATAGTGAGTATGAAGTATAGCTTTCATGACTTCATTATTACTGCATGATGCAAATGTAATTTAATATTCAAGATCCATTATAACTTTGCAGATATCCTCGTCTTTAATGACAGCTAGTCTTCTCGTTGTTTCTATAGCATTCTATCTGGAGGTTGGTACAAGTAATGGTAATAGATACATTCAGTTTCGTAGCTTGGCAATTTTTTTGACTACTTTATTTCATTGATACCAGGAAGTTGTATCAAAGGATTCACATTATTTCAGCATTTTGGGAATAATATCCGTTGTTGGCCTTGTGGTATCTTTCTTGAGCTCAGCTGGATGTTTTATGTGAAAGTTTAGAATTTTAGTACTCATCAGTTTTATCACCTTGTTTTAGGTTATGGTAATTGGGTTCTCTCTAGGACTTGGACCAATCCCTTGGCTTATAATGTCTGAGGTATGAAATATTTTAGTATTCAAAAGTTAATAACCTGAAGAAGGATTAGCTAAATGTTGCACCATTTACTAAGTCAATGCTTATTATTTTCCCTTGTATTTTCGGTTTTTGAGTGCACGATCCTGCCTTTGGCATTGAATCGTAGTTACTGAACTTGGGTTAATTCGTGTTTATTGAATACATTGAATAGTATATAATTTCCGACTTGTTAATCATCATTTACAGATACTTCCAGTGAATATAAAGGGCCTTGCTGGAAGTACAGCAACCATGGCTAATTGGCTAGTTTCGTGGATCATCACAATGACTGCAAACTTGCTTTTGACTTGGAGCAGTGGAGGTTTGTGTTTGTGTTTTTTTATTTGTTTGTCTTCATGAATCTCTTGCATGCTTGTTAACATAATGCTGACTTTTTTTTTGACGTTTTTACAGCGACATTCACAATCTACACAGTGGTAGCTGCTTTTACTGTTGTATTTACGGCGCTATGGGTGCCTGAGACCAAGGGAAGAACATTGGAAGAAATTCAGTTTTCCTTAAGATAGAGTATGTTTTGGGAGAGCATAATGGAAGTCTCTGATATTTAAATTGATGTGTGTATGATATCTTGTATTTTTTTTAGTGCTATGTATTTATTAAATTTTCTGCAGCAAATGTAGGAAAAAACAGTACATTGCTTTTTTTTTTTTTGATGTACAAGCTGCTGTGGGAAACTACAGAAGTTACATTCTGCCTTGGCTATAGTGATTTGTGAATAAGAGGTTACATTCTACCAAGTTTATACTGTGAATAAGTTACCGACATTGGAATATGCAGGAGGGTTCGTGGTGCGGTTTAGGGCGGTTTTAACGATAAAAATTATCCAAACTGCAAGAGTAAAAAACATGCGGTTTGGTTCGGTTGACTTTTAGAAATAAAACCGAATTAAATCAAACCAATACTGTTAGGATTGGTTTGGCTTTTTACAAGATTTTTATTGAGCCATCCATACACACCTATAGAAAATAACATAACTTTGTATAGTCATTCATACATTATAAAATAATATCAAAATTCATCATCTTTTGACAATCTTCTTATTCAATATACAAAAGTCATACTTCGAATAAAAAATATCAAATAGTAACATAAAATAATATCAAAGAGATTATAATAAAACACGAAGAACAAATGATGTGAGTGATTAGAGAAGAAGAAAAAGAAAGAATATAAGAGATGTGAGATTAAAGAAGAAAATTGCGATAAAAATGTAATTGGAAGAAAAATAATAACATAAAAATGAGAAAAAAAAAAAAGAGATTAGAGTAGAAGATGCGTGATATATATGAAAAAGACGAGAAGAATGTGGGATACTACTAGAAGAGATTTGAGAAGGTTGAAAATGAAATCTTAGGTATGAGTAGTAGAAAATTGTTCGTATTTATAAAGTTAAGGGATAATATGTTTGAGTTTTGGATTGAATGTGAGATAAATCAAGTTTGGGTTGAAATATAATGCAATTTGATTTGATTTAGTTCGGTTTGTAAAATACAAATCACAAACCGAATCACACGTTTTTGTTTAAGAATGACCCAAATATATCCGAAACAAATGTGATTTTTTACAATTTCGATTTGGTTTAGTTTGACTTACAATTTTCTATTAGATTGGTTCAATTTTGAACACCCTTAAATATAAATAAAGAAACAACATGTATTGAAAAAAAAGGCTCACATGGGTTCCTAGAATAGAACATTATTAAAGCAGCTAAAATGAATAATTTCTCCCTGTAAAATTTAATTTAACATTTTATTTAAGGTGTGTGATTTTGAATTTTACACTTGTATCCGTGTGATTTTGATAGTTGTTGTTATTGTGTCTACGTACTAAAAAAAAGAGTAGTATACTCCATTAGGTTTAATTTAAAATTTTAAAAATGAACAGAATTTAACAAGAGCAAGATAAAGAATCCATTCATTGTTTGAAAATCATACACTGAACTGTTGTATCCGTGAGATTTTGATAATTGTTATTACTGTGTCTACATACTAAAAAAAGAGTAGTATAACCCATTAGGTTCAATTTAAAATTTTAAAAATGAACAGCATTTAACAAGAGTAAGATAGAGAATCCCTTCATTGTTTGAAAATCATACACTAAATTGTTGTATCTGTGTGATTTTGATAGGTGTTGTTACTGTGTCTACATACTAAAAAAAGAGTGGTATAGTCCATTAGGTTCAATTTAAAATTTTAAAAATGAACAGAATTGAACAAGAGCAAGATAGAAAATCCTTTCATTGTTTGAAAATCATACACTAAATTGTTGTATCCGTGTGATTTTGATATTTGTTGTTACTGTGCCTACATACTAAAAAAGAGTAGTATAACCCATTATGTTAAATTTAAAATTTTAAAAATGAACAAAATTTAACAAGAGCAAGATAGAGAGTCCCTTCATTGTTTGAAAATCATACACTGACCTGTTGTATCCATGTGATTTTGATAGTTGTTGTTACTGTGTCTACATACTAAAAAAGGAGTAGAATAACTCATTAGGTTCAATTTAAAATTTTAAAAAATGAACAGAATTTAACAAGAGCAAAATAGAGAATTCCTTCCTTGTTTTAAAATCATACATTGAACTGTTGTATCTGTGTGATTTTGATAGTTACTGTTATTGTGTCTACATACTAAAAGAAAGAGTAGTATAACCCATTAGGTTCAATTTAAAATTTTAAAAATGAACAAAATTTAACAAGAGTAAGACAGAGAATCCATTCACTGTTTGAACATTATACACTGAACTGTTGTATCCGTGTGATTTTGATAGTTATTGTTACTGTGTCTACATACTAAAAAAAGAGTAGTATAGCTCATTAGGTTCAACTTAAAATTTTAAAAATGAACATAATTTAACACGAGCTAGAGAATCTCTTCATTGTTTGAAAATCATACACTGAATTGAACAATTTCTTTTTATATATCTAAATTGGAAGGAAGAAAAATACTAGTAACAGATGAAATTGAAATGAAATAAATATATTTTAGTTTGTTTCATGAAGGCACTGATAGTTGTGTGGCGATATCGGTTTATAAGGATACATATTCGATTCCACATTAGCCCACCACTTATTAAAGAGGTGAAGTTTTGATAATTAGACAAAAAAAATCACTTTATTTTGTTCCATCCAATTTTAAATAATTAAAACATTAAGTTTTTTTTATTTAATATCAAAATTATAAACAAACAAATTTTGTTCCATCCAATTTTATATAATTAAAACATTAAGTTTTTTTATTTAATATCAAAATTATAAACAAACAAAAAAGATAATAGGGAAATAGACATATGATAATTTGACTTATATCCAGTGGATATTTGACCTGTTTGTTTTAGAATTAAAATTGGTGTTGATTGTTGATGTAGGATCCAGGAAGCGATAATGCTGATATGCTGATTGCCAGTACGGTAGAGCATGGTGGACCTGCAAAATTAACACTTCAACGTTCGAGTCAGTCATAAAGTTCAAGATGAGTATAGTAAAAGTGGGGATCAGAAAAGTATACATTGAATCTCACGTGTGTTGTCTATATACGTTAGATAATTTTGATTCGGCCATGCAAGGTTGGGATTCTGTATTGGGCCTTTGGCCGACCCAAAACAATTTCCCCAAAGCTTGTCAGACGTTTACTAGTCGGAAAGTCTTTTAAAGTCGTGGCTGGTGTCTGGCTATCACGTGGGACCATAGTGAGAAGTAGGAAGGTTATGAAGCAGTTACAAAAGTAATGTGAAACATGAACATCAAATGTCTTTCCCATCATGGAAACAACTATTTGATTTTTCAGGTGCATGGCCTTAGGCTTACAGGTTAGAGCATGGTGCTTTTTCCTAGGGCATTCTTCCGCTACGCGAAAAAACAATCAACGAAGACACATACTCGTCATTGAACTTTATTTATCCCATCGGGGAAATAAAAACATCAAGAAAACCTCAGGAGGGAAAGAACATGGTCTCGCAACCAAATTCAAGATTCAGGAGTCAATTACTCAAGAGGAAGGTGTTAGCAACACTCGCGTTTGTTGTACTCAACGAGATTCACTCTTGTTGTTCTAATCAAAGGGTCTGTATATCTAAAGCTTAACTGCTAAGGGAATGCACGAATAAAAAGAGAAAACAAAGGGAGAAAAAACAAAAAGGGGCTCGCCAGGATCTCGCAATCATGTGCCTACGTATTCTCTTGTGTAACGGGAAAGTCAGAGCAATCGTAGTTCGGAGGACAACGGGTGAAAGAGAAGATTGCTCGCCAAGGATTGGAGCCCTTGTGCCTACCTTAGAGTGTTCGTAGTTCGTGGGACTATGGTTTGTTGGTGTTTTTTATGGACGATACTAATGTTCACATTCTAGTAGTTAGGTGTTTGCTGCTTGCTCGTAGAGTCTTATGCATTACTGTTAGCTCAGAAATTTGACGCCCACATTAAATTAGAGTTTTTTGGTTGAAATGTTGAATTCTCAAGGTAATGTGAAGAAGCCTTCGACCAGGTCTTTACAATAAATGAAATCGAAGGCACTCACACAAGAAAGGAAGACTTTTTTGGACTTAGAAAATATCTCTAAGATTGAAGAAGTTACCTTCGACCGAGAATGTTGTCCAAATACTAAAAGAATTTAAAATTCAAATAAAGGAGGGAGTAGTTATTCTTTCTCACTCCCGAATAAGACAAGTGGCGCACATCCAAGAGGCAGATGCATGCAGCGCAACACTTGTCAAATGTTAATGCTCTTAGGAAGTTAACAGCAGTTAATTTTATTATTATAAATAGGGGTTCTAGCAATAAGATTCGGTGTGTTGTGTTCACTATTGTACAAGTCACTCCAAATTTACTCAAATTATCCGTGTGTAGAGAAAAGAGTCTTGGAAGAATGTATGTGATGTAAAACACCATTTTACACTTTAATGAGATTTACTTTCACTTTGTATTAAAAGAGTTTATCTTTTACTTTCCTGCAATTTACATCTTCAGCGTTATGCTTTGTTTCTTTTAAGCCTTTTCATTAGTCTTTAACCTTTTCTTTCAATTTAACGCTATTATATTCTTGTCGAACCATGCACTTGAATTAACCTTTCTTTATAAACTTTAAATTAAAATTTAGCACATGTCCTAGGATCAATTTGATCGATCCTGTGAGTCACCAAAGTTAGATTTGGAAGATCAGCGGTTGTTTTCCAACTTTCACGGGAAACAAATTGGCACGCCCAGTGGGACAGTGCTAAAGTTTATAAAGCTTTTTGTAAATGTTTTGAAAAAAAAACTGCATTTGTTAGTTTTGTCTTTGAGAAAACTTCGTTGCATGTTATTAAGAAGTGGTAAAGTAGCCGCTACAAACGAAGAAAGACCAAGGAGAAACTACATTAGGAAAATGGCGACAAATGTTAATAAGCCAAATAAATCAAACCTTTGAGGAAGTGGTTCTAATCCCCAACCTAGTAACACTAATCCTCGAGACATGTCTAGGAGCGATGTAGTGACATCCTTAGTCCCTTCAACAGGAGAGCAAATACCGC